TAGTCTCACCTGTCCAGGTAGTTGACTATGTTGGGGTTCTTGTTTTCCCTCATCACCAGGATCTCGTTGATGATCAGCTCCTTCTTGGGCTGCTGCTGCAGGTTCATCTGTTTAATGGCGACCTGAGAGAGAAGAACAATGACAGATGGATGAGTTTATAAAGAGAGAAGGTATGAAAGAGGATGAGGAGGAGAAACAGCAGCAGACGGACGAACAGAGAAGGAGGATAAATCTGTGAATGGAAGGCAGAAGAAGGCCGTCAGCAGCTGAACTGATCCTCAGAGAGGAACTGAGGATTAACGTGACAGACGAGCTGAGCTGCTTCAGAATGAACCTGGAAGTCAATGAAAGCGGATTTAATCCAGTTACAGGCTGACATCAGCTCCAGCTGCAGCTTCGCTCCGTCGTCTGCTTCTCTTCATCCACCTGATTAAAGGCTGGATCACTTTAAACTTCTAGCTACGGCTTTAACGTCCAGCGTCTTCCTTTGCTGGGTCTTTATCCTTCATTCCTCCTTTAATCTGCACTTTAAACCCTTAATTCATTTCAGCTCATTTTAATTGAATTAATTTTTCTTTGAAGAGATTTTGGTCTTTATGAACCGTCTCTGTCACTGTGTGGTAGTTTGACTTACAGACATCACCGCTCAGACACTAAGAATGACTGGAAACTGTTGATTTCTGTGGGATCTGTAGATGTTTAGCTGCTGTCTGTTGGTTAGTCCACCTTTTTCTCCAGATTTAAGTCTTTTAACAATTGTTATTTCTAGGAAATGTTAGCCTGCTAGCATGTTTCTACGTAAAATAACTCATGTGTGCAATATTGTTTTCCACTTTTCCATCAGTGCAGTACCTCTGTACATTTCTTTGTTGACCCGTATCTTCTACATGGGATTAGAAAGTCCTGTCTCTGTTGGTTTTGTCAGTAACGTCTCTGTAACAGACATAAATCATGTCATCTGTAAACTCACCTCTTGTCCTGTAGCGACGTCGATCGCTGTATAAACCGTCCCAGACGCCCTGAAAGAAAACAGCAACTTAAACATCTACAGCAGGTGTTTGTTGGACAGAAAACATTTTATTTATTAAAACTCCATCGAGGCAACAAAACGCTGAAGCAGCAGAATCCAAACAATCATCAGACGAACTGGAATCAAATCAGTTCAACTGAAAACCTTAAAGAGCTTCGTTGTCTTAGCAACACTTCATCAGAGGCTAAAATTACTTCATATCTGGAGTTTTTCCAGCATCGGGGCGTCGCTGAAAGAGAAGTTAACCCAAAATAATAAGAGTGTTTTAACAGTTTTGTTTTCTGGGTTTTATTTGCTGACGTATAAAAGACGTTTTTATCCATTAAAGAGTCAGAAACGAGCAGATTTCTGTCATTTCACAACAGACTCATTGTTTTTACTACATAATCCTTCTTTAGAGATTCATTCTGAGCCAGAAAAACCCAGATATCTTTGTCAATCTAAATCCTGTTTTTCATCATCAGCCGTGTTTCCAAAATGTTTCTGAGGTTCGTTATTATTTTAAGGGATCACATTTGGAAAAGTTAATTAAAACTGCAAAAATAAAAAACTATTTCACAGTAAAGTTTTTACGTTTGCTTGAGGTGGTTTCTGACTTTTTGAAAACAGTCGACGGCCTTCATGGGAAATAAAAACACCTTTAATTAACTACTTCTGACAGATATTTAGGTGACGTCACTGATTAACTGTTTCTGCATCTTTTATGCATCAAACGAGGCCGAAATCAGCTGAGACGAAAGAATAATTAAGACTTTTCTCCATTTTTCTCTTGGAGATGGACAAAATTTGAGTTTGTTTCTTTTTCTTCTACTCAGTTTATTAAAGCCGTGAGAACAGCAGCCTGTAGCGCCACCTTCAGACGACACAAGTTTATTTCCTCCAAAACAGTAAATGGAATTATTTGGCTTTTGCTTTTTTTCTTTTTATCAATTTTTCCAACAGTTTGCGTCACATGTGCGCCTCAGAAACTCGCCGTGCTGCACGTAGAGATGCTCTGATGTTTAACGCATTAACGCCACTAAAACCTGTTTCCAGTGTGACTGAATCCACTGTTCCATGAAAACTGGATTTAAAGACTGGAGATGTGACGACATTCAGAAGCAGGCTCGTTTCTTACCCCTGTCCGATCTTCTCAAAGCGAGTGTATTTCTTCTTGGGATCTCCGACGCTCACGATCGTCCCTGAGTTAAAGAAGGAGACAGAAAGAAACTCGTTCACTGATTCATCTAAAGCATCCCGTCAGGACGTTTCAACACAGACAGAATGAGGCCCTTCGATGCTGCTGGAAGGTTCATTTCACTTCAACCGAGTCTGGATGAATAGAAAAGTCCGGAGTCTTTCTATTCATCCTGATTCTACTCTAAGGTCATCACACTCAGGTGGATGCAGCATGCTGACTGGGAGGAAGAGGAAGCATGAAGCTAACGGAGAAGAAGGAAAAACTGAGAGAAAGAAGAAGGAATAAAGAGGTCAGAAACAAAACAGATGTACAGAGAAGAGGAAGAAGAAAAAGTCAAACAGCTAGAATGAAAAAAGACTCAAGTTTAAAAAGCAAAAGAAATAAAGAAAAGGCAGGAGGAAGGAAAGAAGGAAAAGAAGGAAAGAAAGAAAAACAAGGTGACAAAGGAAGAATGGAGAAGGACTAAAGCTTTAAAGAAAACAAAAAGGGAAAAGATGAAAAAGGTAAGAAACAACTCAAGAAAGAAGCTGAAGTGAGGACAGAACGAATCAACAATAGCAAAGAGGAGGAAGGAAAGAACGTAAAGAAGGAAAGGAAAATAAGGAAGACAAAAAGGAGGCGAAAAAAGAAAAAAGAAGTAAAGAAAGAATGCTGTGAAGAAAGGATAACAAGATGTAGAGAGGAAGGAAGAAATGTAGGAAATAAAAACAGACAGTCAAAGATGGGAGGAGAAAAGAATGAAAAGCAAAAGGAAGGAAGGAAGGAAGGAAGGAAAAAAGGAAGAAAGGAAGGAAGAGGGGAGAAGGAAGAAGAGACAGAAGGAAGGAAGGAAGGAAGGAAGGAGGGAAGCAGAGAAGAAAGGAAGGAGAGAAGGAAGGAAGGAAGGAGGGACGCAGAGAAGAAAGGTAGGAGAGAAGGAAGAAAGACACGAAAGAAAGAAAGGAGACAAGGACTGAAGGAAGGAAGGAAAGGAAACTAGACAGGAAAGACAAAAAGGAGGAGAGGAAGGAAGAAGGAGGAAGGCAAGAAAGAAAAGGAAGTCATGAAGGAAGGAGATCAAAAATGAGAAAATAAATGAATGAAAGACAGAAACTGAAGAACAAGATGAAGGAGAGTCTGTGTGTCATCAGTCCAGTAATCAGAGTCCAGAGCAGGAAGAAGATTAAAGGACGAACTCTGAAACCTCAGGAGACGATGGACAGAGAGGACGACCAATCAGACGTGAGGATTGGACAGAGGGGGCGGGACAGGGCGGATATCAGGCCTGTCAATCAGACAGACAGGAAGTATCCTGGTCTTACCAGCAGAGGGAGACCTGAGCACATCTGGATGGGCGACGGCATGGTTCAGTAAGAAATATACAGGCTTTAATTCACAGGGCACAGAGTCACAGTAAAACATGTGGCTATGGGGGAGGGTTAAATACGGGCTTTTATTCTGAAGGGGAGATCAAGAAGTGAAGATAACTTGATTTAATGGGCAGAAATTTAAGAGGTTTGAAGGTTTTCTGCAGCATCTGAGGAACTGAAACTCAGTGGATCAGTTTTATTTTTGATAAGAAAACAGTGTTAGCATTAGCACGGCTAATGTGGCTAACGTTAGCTTTGATCTAAATGGTAAAACCACAGACGATGGAAACTTTAATGTGTTCCTGTGTTTCCATCTGTCAGCTTCTCTCCTGCTCTCTGTGCTCACGTCAACACACAGGAAGTACATTTTAACAAATAAATTCACAATAAAACTATTTTTGTTTACAGATGTTTTGTTTCTGTGGTCCGATAATGGAGCGATCGTGAAAGCAGCCCAGTGAGACGTTCTTCAGAGTGTGATGTGAGTTAGAAGCTGTTTCTGGTTAAACTGAACTCTCAGTTATTTTATTGTGAAAGGTTTCGACCACATGAAGGCATTTTGTAATAACAAGATTAATTATACGTTAACAGAGTAGCTTTGTTGTCTCCTCCCTTCACCTACACAACATTTATTATCCATTTTGTGTATGATCACATTGAATCTTGTGTTTCCAGGGATTTACTTTGATTTTCTTTCTGCTCTATTAGAGCTGCTGATGCTGTTCTACCTGCTGCAGAACGAGGCCAGAGTCTCCACCAGCTAATTTTAGTCTCATTTACACTTTTATTTTTTTAGTTTTGACGGCTTGTTTCATCACTTTAATGTGAACTCACAGCGTTTATTTTAGGCTGCAGGCGAGTTGATGATGTCAGCAAGTAACATTTAATCATCACATCACCTCCATGGTTTACTGGGTTTATTACTCAGGCTTCCAGGTTAGGGTTAATGTAAAGGTTTTATCGTACATTAAGGTCTGTGGAGGATCTCACACTAATGTTATCGCCTGCAGTCATTACAGCTACATAACAAGAGATTATCTGATCTACTCGTCCAATATTACAGATTCTGAATCACTGATAAGATGAGAAATAATGGTGAAAAATTCAGGTTTTAATCTTTAACACTTCCTGAGATGTTGTCGTTCAAACAGCCTCAAATTTTATTGTGGGAAAAATCTGCTGAAACTGGTTCAACAGGCAGTTTCTAAAAAGTTTGATCTTGGGAATTATTTCATATATTGAGGTAAATTCCCACAGATACTGTTTTAAATATCCAGAGTTTGTGATAAAGTAGTGTGAAGTCAATCAGAGCTGGTCGGGAAGAAGGAAGCTGATGTTTTGATTCTTTAATCTGCATCCTCCATCCAGTCAGTCAGACCGTGTTATTACTAAAATACTATTTAACATATATAATATACTCCAGTGTGACTCCAGGAATAAGCCTGAAAACCAACTCTTTATATAAATATGATGTCCACCAACTTCTGGCCTCCTTCTTTTGATTGAACTCTTGTTAATTAGATTAAAGCGACATCACTTCAGATCTGAATATAAATGATATGAAAACATTTCTGTGTTTTGATGCTATAAATGAGACTCACGTAGTTTCTCCAGGATCTCCTCGTCCGACATCTTCTTCTTCCTGGATTTGTCCTGTGGGCGGGGCAGGGAGGGGCCGGGGGCGGGGCTTGCACTGGGGGGGCTGCTGGGAGCTCCGTCCGCCGGAGGGGCGGGGCTGACGGCGGCAGCGGCGGCGGCGGTCGGCACGGCGATGGGGGAGGTGGCGGCATCTTTGGTGGGAGGAGGAGGGAGCGGCTCGATGACGGAGCGAGTGTAGATCTGGAAAATTATCAGAAAATTATTCATAAGTTTTGGTGATGGAGTCATAAGTCCTACAAGCAATAAAGATGGAGCAGTGAGAGCGCCAAATTACCAAAATAAATCAGTGAAAGAATAATAAAATATAAGTGGAAATAAAAAGAAGAATAAATTCAAATAAAAATAAATAATGTGGCGATAAAGCAACATTAATCAAAAATGAATCCATAAAAGAAAAAGAGAATAAAAGTAGAAATATAAAGACAAATAAATAAAATTTTTGAAAAAACATATATTCATTTTTTATTTATTTTAATTCATAATTTTTTAAACAATTTTTACATTTTAAATGTATTTATTCATTTTTTAAATTAATTTTTGTTTTTATTTTATTTTCTATTATTTGTTTCATTTTATTTATTTATATTTTTTGTAGTGTACAAACATGTTTGGAGCCAAAGTGAAGCTGAAGTGCTTCTCAGACTGCGGTGAAGAAAAGACTAAACACAACGGAGACACTCGAGTTTGTTTTTCGTGGCCGTAATCAGGTGCTGTGGACTCGTCACCGTGGAAACGGCGGCGGCGCCACGAAGCAGCCTGTCGACCGCCAACCTGTCTGGCAGAGCGGCAACAATGTGGGAGGAAGAAAGGACGAGGAGACGAGCAGCAGAGAGTTTTACTGGAGTCTGAGCGCGAAGATCCAGATAAAGATCGTTTGTTATTCACGATAGAAAGTTTAACGGCGACGACTGAACCGTCTAACATGATTTATTTCTTTAATGGAGCTGAAATAATCAGCTGATTGATTGATTTGTTGCCCAACAGACAATTGTTTGCTGTTGAATCATTTTCCACTGATGTTACACTGATGATAAGGTTGTTTTGGACATTTAAAGACATAATTTTTCACTTTTCTCTGATGTTAAGTTGACAAATAATAAAGTAAAAGTAAATAAAGATGTGTAGAAGTGTTTCTGCTCGACCGTCTATGATTTTTATACCATAAAATATAAATATTTATAAAGATATTTGTGAGATTTTTGCTTCATATATCCCAAATTTTTGTATTTGTTATTTCTCATCATGTCGCTGATCCAGAACCTGCAGCATCAGACAAGTGGCTCAAATAATCTGCTTATGGATGAGGTGAAATATGGGAACCTCTGAGCTCATATTAACAAACAAAGAAGTCAACTGGTGATATTTTCTGAACAAACTGTAGCTGCAGGTCCCAATAACACAAAACTAAACATGTAGAAGAGTTTTTATGAGAAATATTTGGTCCCAAAAATGGAAAGATCATCATCTAACAATCTATTTAAACAAGTCTGAATGTGTTTAATTTAATGCTGCGGTTTCACAGTTTATAGACATTAGTTGACCTTCCCTCACTGATAGAACAGCTCAATGAATAACAGTTTAATCAACACCAACAAAACCTCAACTGTCCAGAAAGAAACGACTGAAGCTAAAATACATTTGGTGTGATTCTAATAAACGTAGAACCGTGTGAGTGTTTCAGATGATGACGAAGACGGATGTAGAGAATCAGAAAACCTGCTTCTCCACTAAACAGCCTCCAGTGACGAACTCTGGAGGCTTCACGCTTCACTTCACAGCGCTGACGGGAGGATAAAGGGTTAAAGAAGCTGCCTGGACATCACCTGATCAGACCTAAGAACCTCTGAGGCTATGACACGATGGAAGAAGTCGTTAAACTCAGGATTATACAACGTTACTCGCTGCATAAATTCAAAACCTCCCACTGATGTGATCAATACGTCCTTTAAAACACTGCATGAGGGAAACAGAAGTCTAACAGTCGACAACTCCTCCTGATGCATCGGACAGAGGAGCTAGTCTGACTTCCTGTGAGCTCAGCCGTCAAATTAAAAGCGCCGATCGATCGGTCAGTTAATTAATCGGACCAATTAAATGCCGTTTTGACCTAACGAGCATCAACCTGTTTCTGGCTAATTAGACGAGTAAACAAACGATGTCACGGCAGCGATTCGTCAAATCTAATTAGCAGGAAACAGGCGCCTTTCAATTCAGCTTTTATTTTCTTCCAGGAAGGTGGTTTGATCTGGTTGTAGAATGAAATAAAGCCTCAAACAGCAGAAAGTGTTCAGACAGATGACGGCTTGTGTTGAAGTTTAACTTCAGTTTTAAACGTCCTGCAGAGTGTTTCAAAGGTAGTGATGCACGATATTAGCATTTCTGGTTTATACCGATATCCGATATTAAGATTTCTGATATCGCAGATAACCGATGTTACCGATGTCGATATTAAATTTTTGTTTACAACAAAAAATGAGTCTAAGTGAGCACTGTGAGAACGTGAAAACTTTACAAAAGAAGCCCAATTAGACCACATAGTCTTCTTTATCACGTAACAAAAGTAAAACATGTTTAAACATATGTAATGTTCAAGTCCAACGTTTAGTAAAAACATCTGTGAAACAGCAGCAACATCAAACGTAGAGACGAAGGCGCTGATGTCAGACAATCATCGGCTAAATTTGTTCATCGGACTGATACCGATATCTGGGAAAAAACACTAATATCAGCCGATACCGACGTGGTCACCGATATATCGAGCATCACTAATTAAAATGCATCTTAAACACACAGAAAGATAAACGTAAGCGTGAGTTCTTACGGATTTGGTGTGTTCTGGTCGGGGGGCGATCACTGGCGGTGGCTCGGCCTCATCCTCGTCCTCGTCCTCGGATACGGTCGCTATGGCGAGCGCCTCCGACGCGGCCTTGGAGCTCTGCGTGATGTCACAGGGGGAGAGGAGGCGGAGTCTGAGTGACATCATCACTTCCTGTTTACTGTTTCATCAACTCACCGGGCAGGAAAAGTTACTCTCCCTTCTCTGACTGTCACCTCTGTTACTGTCTGAACTAGTTCATCATGCCTGCACTACCCATAATGCATCTCTTCTTCTGTTTCTGTTTCTTCTTCTTCTTCTTCTTCTTCTGCTTCTTCTGGTGTGTCTGTCTGGCTGGAGGCCAGGCTGCAGAGATGTTGAAATGGTGAAAACATGCTGATTCACGGTGCAGCGAGGAAGAGGAGGAGGAGGACGAAGAGCGCCTCATCATCCTCCCTCCTTCACCTTACTCTCACCTTCACGGTTCTGTTTAAAGGACTCGGACGACACCTGAACTGTGACAGAAACAAAACCTCCTCGTTCAGTTCAGTTTGAATCAGTGTGACTGTTGTTGGACATGAAGTTGGTCCTGAACAGGAAATGAAGCGACTGATCAAATCCTTTTAATCTACAACATGTGAGACGTCTGGAAAACAGTTTGAATATTATCGTATGAATAAGAAAAGGGTACAAAGTCAACATTTTTCATTTATGAGATTATTTATTAGCTTAATTTTTACTAAACAAGTCAACTGTTGGCTGGACGCTCTCAGAAGAAGAACTCACTAGTTTGACTTTACAACAGACACTGTGGAGAGTTTCTGAAACTTGTTCAAACCCACGACCCTGAGATTAAGAGTCTCATGCGCTAGCGACTCAGCTAACCGGGCTGCTAACGCTAATGCTAACGCTGCTGCTAACGCTACTGTTTCAAGTGATTTTTTTCTCTTTTTCTATATTGATCATATTTAGCGATCAAGCGCTTTGAGTTTCGATCATAAACCCTCATAACTAAACTGTAAACTAGAAGCCATAGCCTGCTGACGTTAGCTTAGCTTAGCATAAAGTGTGGAAATCAGCTAAAGTGAAACACATAAATCTTTCATTCTGATCATCAGGTTGATGCTTCCTGCAAACATATACTTCCAACTTTGAAGTATTTTCAGTGTTATTCAGTATTTTTTATTTGAAAGAGGGCCAACATGTGAAAAGACACTAGAGCTGAGCTAAACAATGAAACCTTCATCAGTGTGTGTGTGGCGTCTCGGTAGAATCAGTCTTACCGTCGTGGTGGAGGAGCTGTAGGCGTCTGCATTTTTATCTGCAGGAAAAAAAAAACACAAAATAAGAAATAAAATACAGAAAACTGAGCAGCAGGACGTGTTTGTGTTTGTTACTGATGTCGTGGAGACATGAATGAACGTCAGGCGATTTTAAAGTCGACTTTTGGTGCAAAAAAATGCAAATAAAGAAACTAGATTTGTTTCCGTTAACATCGTTGGAGCGAATAAACTAGTAAAAGGAGGAACTTCATCATTAGGTGGCGCCAGAAGCTCCTCAATAAAACCAGTTAACCGCTAAAAAAAAGTTAGAAGAAGAAGAAGAAATAAAACTTTGTCCATCTACCAGAGTAAAAGTATTCAATCGGGAAATAGTAGTTAGAAGAAAGAAACGGCTGATAAATTATGTAAATTAAATGTTAAATGTCAGAACATATCCAGAAAAGGTGTTTATATCTCCAGTGAAGCTCATTAACTATTTTTAGACAAAGTTAAACACCACCTGAAGTGAGTTTATGAAGCTTTAACTGCAAAATTTTGTATGATTTTTCCAATTTTGTCATTTTTATTAAGGTTTTTTAAGGCAAAATGTCAAAATATGAATAAAAAAGCGTGTTGTTTTTCCTTTTTCTGTGTTTCCCGTAACGTAAATCTTCTGATGCCGTTACATTCAGGGTTCAGGTGAGTCTTAATGAGATAATTAACGTCCTGTGCGTGTACCTGTGAAGCTCATGTATTTCTGGCTGTTGGCCGTTTCCTTCGAGTCGTAGAACTTTAAAACATCGAGGACGGCCTGAGGGTTCTTCTTCTGCTCCAGCTTGGTGATGTTGGACGTCTGCAGCAGCCGAGCCCACTGCTCCGGCATTCCCTGGAAACACACAAAAACACACACGGCGTCGTTTATCAGCGTTTTATTCAGTTATGTGCTGAGTGTTTTTTACTCTTTTATGAGGCAAATTTTCATGTTTTTGTGATGTAAAGTGCAATAAGACGCACACAGACTTCACTCGTTCACTTCCTGAAGAGTCCTAATGAGCCAGTCTGGTCATATTTGTGCTTCAGACTCTGAACTGGGTCACAGATCCTCGTTTTCCAGCTCAGTTTGTCGAGGTCACTCCATCACTCCGTCCTGCATTTCCTGCTCAGGTCTGATCCTTCCTCTACGTTAAACCATCACATCATCCGTCCATCAGCTTCACACACTGCTCTGCATTGTGTTTAGGTTGCGTTGACTCCAGTTTATCTTTGTGTAGATGTTTGTGTTTCTCAGTTCGCAGCAGGAACCGTGTCCCAGATTACAGAAACAGAATCGGCACACGGTTTAACTCGCAGCTAAAAGAGCTCGGTCAGGCGGATCAAGTGAGTCAGCGAAACAAGGCGTCTTTGTCTAATGTGATTATTTAAAAAGCTGCATTTGCCAAGTGTGTGTGTGTGTGAGTGTGTATCCAGCACACACACACACATTCGCACGCAACAATGAACACGAGTCCTTCGGTGGGCAATTAAAGAGTGATGCAGACACACAACAGACACACAACAGACACACCAGACTTACGGTAAACTCTCCGGTAACAGCGTCGAAGCCGACATGGATGGTGTGTTCAAAGTCAGACGGGAGGGAAATCTCTGGACGCTCCTTCTTCTTATAGGCTGAGTCAGAAAAGGACAAAAACAGAAACAGACAAATCTGTAATTCTCAGGTTTAAATGAATTATTATAGTTTTCAACCTGAAGGTGAATTAATTTCCCTTCAGAATAAATGTTTATGATGAAAAAGATCAAGAAAAAAAGACAAACTTTGCCTCTCAGGTTGCAGAAGAGGCTCCTGGACGTCTCTGATTAGCATGAATTCTTTAAAGCATTAAAACAGATATTTTTAAAGATATTTGTGAAACTTTAGATCAATATATCAAACGCTTTTAGAGATAAAATGCTTTAAAAACTGCCCATTAACTCACTTTCAGCAGCTTTTTCCCACATTTAAACTTGAGGCTGTTTGAACGACAACATCTGAGGAACTATTAAAGATAAAAACCTGAAATTTTCTCTGTTATTTCTCATTTTGTAGTTGACTCAGAATCTACAATATTGGACGAGTAGATCAAATAATGTCTGATTGTGGTGAGTTGAAATATGAACAAAAATTCAAGTCATAATGGAACGTCTCATCTTTAAACTCACATTAACAAAAACACTAATAATGTCAGCTGGTGATATTTTCTGAGCTGCAGGTCAAAATAACACAAAACTAAACATTAAAATACTGTTAATGGGAAATACTTAATCACAAAAATGGAAAAAAAAGTTATTTTTGTTGAACTTTCATAACTAATTGAGCAGGTTGTAGCACAAAAACAAACATATTGGCAGATAATCTGATTAACGTGTCTATTTAAGCTACTCATCTGAAATTGTAGATTCTGAATCAACGACATGATGAGAAAAAACAGTGAAAACTTCAGGTTTTTATCTTCAATAGTTCCTGAGATACTGTCGTTCAAACAGCCTCAAATTTAAATGTGTTTAAAACCTGCTGAAAGTGGGTCAACAGGCGATTATTAATATTTTTAAATCTTTGAAAGTTTCGCATATTTGAAGCTAAAATGTCCCGATTATATGTAAAGATAAATACTGTCAACATTTGTCCACACGCTGATGAAACCTTTCTATTCATGGAGACAATTGCAATAAAATTAACTCGTTTACATTAAACAATAGGAACAGAAATACATTAAACTACAACGTATGTTCAGTGTTTGGCCACTAGGTGGAGGTATTAACCATCACAGAAGTCTCTGTCATGTCAATGCTCTTTGGTTACCATTTGAACTGACTGCAGTCCGAAATCGCGTCCTCGAGTCACTATATAAACACAGCAGATGTAAGAGGCTCCACCTGGTGGTGCAACCAGGTACTACAGGTAATGTGTTCTATACATTCTAACGTACATGTTCCTCTTCTTGGACTCTACTGGTTGATATGGTTTTGTTCAGTTAAATTATTAGTGGCACGGCAATTAATCTATTTATGATTAATCACTAAAATCTGTCAGAGAGATCTATGGGAAAGCGTCACAGTAAACATTTCAATGAGTTTATCGCCTCAGTTGCTAGTTTTAAGTCTCCTTTACGAGAACACGGTGTTCATTTAGTAAATTAAGGTCTTGTTTAGAGTTAATTAGACGATAACTTATAAATAAAGCGAGGCATGTTTAAGGGCGAAGCTGCTGTTAGAGCGAATCTACAAGTTACTACCATATAGTTATACGACTACCGACCACTGGGCCGGTCAGTTTAGACCAGCTGGAGGTCGTTAACCTCCACAGAAGTCTTTGACATGGCGCCCGTTGCTGGTTAAACTCCCATAATGAACTGACTGTAGCATCCTCGAATCACGATAGTATTAAACAGCAAGACGCTCCACCTGGTGGAACAAACGGGTACTACAGCTGGTCTACAACACACTAACATGAACACACATCTTCTGCATTATCAGCTGATATAGGTTTAATAATTATTAATTATTCATCAACATCCCTGATAGAAGTTTATGAGAAAATGCTTCAGTAAAAAGGAGTTCATGTTCTTAGTGGCTTGTTTTTAGTCTCCTTCAACACGGGAGGATGTTCATTTAGTAAATTATGGTCCCATTTAGGGCAAATTAGAAGATCATTTATAAATACAGCCGGGCATGTTTCAGGGCGAGGCCAGCGTGGAGGCGTATTTACAGATTCCTACTATATAATTACACCACTGCTAACCACCGGGGCTTCCTCTGCACGACGGCCACTTCTGACCAACGCTTTCTTTCCCAGAACAAAAGGTTTCCTGCGATGAACAGCAGCTCCTGAAACTTTCAACAGCGAGTTGAGTTCTGCGGCGGCTGTGACACAATAAGGTCAGACGGATGTTAATCTGCACCGAGCTGCTCTGGAGACACACCGAGGAGGTTTAAAGTCTGCTCACAGTGTCGATCGAGTCGGGTCTGATCACGGAAACGGGATTTCTGGAACAATTTCTTGGCTGCTGATGGGATTTTTATAAAATTTGGAGAGATGATGGACACTGGTTTAAAAAAAATACAAGAACATACCTGGATGATGCTGTTAAGCTTTTCTTAAAGAGATGATTGGAAGATTAAAATATTTGTTTTTATTTTTACTGAACTCACACTTTACTCTCATGTTTCCATTAAATTCAGAAGAAAAATATAATTCAGAGGAGCAACATTTACGGTTCTGAGGACTACATGTTGTGACCAAAGTTCACTGTTTACACATTTAGAAGAGTTTTGATATCAGAAACACTGCAGCCTGAAATAAACCAAAGAAACAAAAATATTTAAAGCAACATGACGATGAAACGAGGCTCAAGCTGGTTTTGATCCACCAGATTGATTTTGCCAATTAAAAGCAGGTGAATGTGAGAAAAAAAAACATCTTGTAAGTAAGTTTTCATGTTTATCTGAGGCGGAAAAATGTATGTTTGAAAGTGAAATATAACAAAGTGAAACAGGATTAGCAAATTAAAGTTAAAGAACCACGTTAGCCTTTAGCTTCATGAAGCCTCACATCTGTGTGGAGCGACGAGGAAACTGTAGTCGCTCTTTAACAACTTGATCCTCTGCAACGGTTCAACAAAGAATTATCCTGATTTTAATTAAACCAGTGAACTCCTTATATTCACATATTAGAAGGACTTTCTCTTCTGGAAACTATACTGTAAAATGTGAAGGTTTTAACGACTTGTAGATGTAATTTTTAGGAAAAAATCACAGCATATGTTTCCAGTTTTGTTTAATTACAGGTGATGACTTGTAAAAATCACAGAAAATAAGTATTCATTCAGACATTAACCATAAAAAACAGGTCGTAAATGTCCACATTAAAAATCTGTATGTTTTTGTGTTTACACTATTTATTACATTTTCTGAAAATATATTCTTGTCTTTGTTGGTATTTGAAAAAAATAATATAAACATTATGGAGTGAAAAATAGTAAATCACTGACAGATTTTCTGTTTTGGTAAATTACAGATAATATCCAATAAAATCTAAAAAATTACATGTTGTGTGTAAAAATAAATAAATTAAAATCAGTATTTTTAAAATTTTAATCTCTTGTTTTTTGATGTGTAACCCTAAAATCACAGGTACAAACATCAGAACTTTACAAATACTTGCTGTTACTAGTTTTTTTCTCGCTGCCAGAGTTCACTGGTTTTATTCTGGGTTTTTTGGTGGGTTTTTTTTTTACAGTGTAAGAACGAAGCTCCTGCTCACTTTGTTCACCGTCAGTTCAATAAAGGTTATTCAAAGAGGACGGCTGTGACCTCATTGCTCTTTCGTCCACTCACTCTTGTCTCCTCCTCCGGTCAGGATGAACCGGATCGATCGGTCCTTCTTCTTCTTGTCCTCCGGGTTCGGTGGGAGGGGCTTAGAGCCGTGGTTCAGGGGGGCGGGGTCTTTGTTGCAGGAGCCAATCATGGTGCTGGTGTTCCTCATGGGCGGAGCTGGGGGTTTGTCCTCGACCTCCCCATTATCAGACATCTTCAGATAGGCTGCAGCCGGCCGCTCCTGCAGAACAACCAATCACAGAGCAGGAACGGTGAGCACATCGACCAATGATGGAGCAGGAAGAGCGAGCACATCAACCAATCACAGGGCAGGACGAGTGAGGACATCAACAAATCACAGAGCAGGAAGGGTGACAACATTGACATCAATTAAAATCCACATTTGTTCTTTCAAATGATTTATTTTGCTTCACTAAAGATAAAAAAAAAAACTTTTAACTGAAGCTGACAGAAACAGCAGAAAGCAGAATTATTTTAATTTAATAAACGTTTAAACCATCAATCAGTCACTGATTACTGAATAATCAATAATTCAGCGCTGACAGCAGCTACATCAGTGAACAGACCTGTGATTTAATATGCTGACTTTACATTTTACTTTTTGAGTTTCTGTTTATTCTATTTTTTTTTATGCTGTCTTGAGTTTCTTTTCTGTCTCAACGTAATGACGTCAATGTTTCATGTAAAGCACTTTTTAAGAGCAGATAAGAAAAGATAAAAAGATAAGTTAATCAGGTTAAAATAAGCTGAGTTAAGTTGCGATAAGTTAAGATAAGAAAACACTTTATTAATCCCAAAGGAACCTCTTAAAACATTCTTCCTGTCAGTATCTTTACAAATTAAAAGCTTGTTTAAAATGTAAAAGTAAAGATTGTAACAGTAAAAGACATTTAACGGTTTTTATCTGTAATCTTTGGAACTATTTACTGTTACTTTGCAGATTTTTTCCTTATTTTTCCTTTGAATGAATGAAAGAGTTTCCATTTGCTCAC